CCTTAACTTTAGGGGTTATTAGAAAACTCCCTTTTACTTTAAGATTGTTTTTTTTAGAAACATGACCTAACAGTTTTAACTGCAATTTTCATATGGCTAAAGGTGAATTGATGCTAAAGATATTTTTGCTAGTGATTTTTTTTCCTTTTTCAAAAAAAATAATAAAATTTAATTAGGAAATAAATATTACACATGTGATGATGATAAGCGGGCAACAAGCTGCGCTGCTAATCCTTTCTGAATTGCAAAACCCAACCTACGAAATACGTACTCAGCGGACCCTGCTGTCGCCACATTCTTATTCATGAATTTCTGTACCCTCCCGAGGAACTCCGCTGCATCAGCTGCAAGGAAACCAAACGTATCGAAAGCGAACGGGATGAAGTTGTGGTGGTTGTCCTTGCAAGCTTGATCATGTTTGTCCACATTTGCCTCTGCTGCTCTATCCGCTGCATACCCAACCTTGAACTCTCCATTACCAAACCCCACCAACGGAGACACCCCTGTGAGATCAACACAAGCGTGCTTCCCCCGCTCCAATTGTAAACAAGAACGTCTGCCGGCCTTAGAGTAGATCTAGCCTCTCCAGGAGGAGTGAGGAAGTTAACCCTAAGCCTAAAATCACGGTAGGCCTGTACCTGCAACTCTATTTAGCACAAAAACAAAGTACGATTATAAATTTTACCATTAAAACACAGGTTGTAACAAGTCATCTCATGTTTCTTGACAAAAACTAAGGGCTCGTTTGGATCAGGTACTTTGAAGGGGAAAGGAAGGGGAAAGCTGCAAATTTGTCAGCTTTTTGGTAGCTTTCCCCCAAAATTACCTCTTATAGATGCGATTTTGGGGGAAAACTGTCAAAAAGCTGACAAATTGGCAGCTTTCCCCTTCCTTTCCCCTTCAAAATACCCGATCCAAACAGCCCCTAATTGCATATGCATATATACCTTCATGTTGTCATCTACAAAGACAGTGAGGCCTTAACAAGAAGAAGAGTAGTAACATAATATGACTCGAATACCTTGCACTAAAACTTTGACAAATAAAGATAGAACTATTTTTTGTATTTTGTTATTATTTGCTTTTAATATAATTAATTAACATTATAATCAAATTTTGTATTTTTTTGTAATCAAGAAAATATGGGATTCAGATCCTCTTCACTAGGAAAAAAGGTAAATGGTCGATAAAGTGTATGGAATATAGAAGTACATAAATGAAGACGGTAAGGGATGACAGAAAAGTGCAGTGGAAGGGCGAAAGAAGAGGAATTTGATTAGATTTTTGAATAAACGTGTCTAGTTGATCTTATATCCCGACCTAAGATAATATTGAAGAAAGATCACAGTTGTGATCACTTTTGATCTATAAGATAAAAATAAAAAGTACATGTAATGCGATGAGAACATGAGCATTCAAGTTGAAAATTGAGTCGTATCATTTTACATGAGAGAATTGATTCATATCACACATGTCGCTCGTTAACGAATTTGGATACTCTCCACTACAAAAAGGTAGTGAAGAGACCCCTACTTTTAATCTCAATCGTTGATTATGTAGTATGTGGTTATGATACAATCTAAATCTAACCCTTACAATACCCCTGTATATTGCACCATTTCCTAATTTGCACTCAAAGAAAAAATCACAACCACCAACTAGATAATCAATGGTTGTGATTATGTAGTGGTCCCTCCACTACTTTTTAGATAGTGGAGAGAATACGAATCCCTCATTAAACTCAAATAAAATCAATTAGCATCTTACCGAAAATAGAAACTATTAAAGAGTCACAACGATTATAGTGGTCCCTCCACTACTTTTTAGATAGTGGAGAGAATCTGAATCCCTCGTTAAACTCAAATAAATCAATTAGCATCTTACTGAAAATAGAAACTAGTAAAGAGTCGCAATCACCAACTAGATAATCAATGTTTGTGATTATGTAGTTATCCATCCACTACTTGTTAGATAGTGGAGAGGATCCGAATCCCTCGTTAACCTGAAATAAAATCAATTAGCATCTTACCGAAAATAGAAACTGGTAAAGAGCATAATGTATAGATAAAATATAGAGGATGCGAATATTAACAGAACCCAACAACAATTGCATGCATTCGCCTGAACTTTGACCCGTAATAAAAACTTTGGCTTTGTCAGCTTACAACAGTTTGGTACCCGTGCAGATAACAGTTTGGTACACGAAAATGCTGGACGTGTCAGGTACAAAAGCTTAGGACCCTACATATTATGGTTTTAATTTTACTAAAAAGGCCACCGGTACCCTTTTTTTTTGGTATTTTACGTTCGTGTATTCATTATTGAAACATTGATATTACGCTGACACGCCAAATCTGAAGGTGAAACTTACTCCGGCTTTCAGTACCTCGTGAAAGAGGATATCTCGGGATCACGTGATTTTTTTTTTTGTTCTAACTGTTTTATATTTGAAAAATGATAGGGGCACACCCCCAACTACAATTCCAACCACACACACTCTCTCATTTGCTACAGTGCACCAGGTCCTACATGTGATTTTAAAAATTTAAAATCACATGTGGAGCCCGGTGCACTGTAGCAAATGAGAGAGAGGGTGTGGTTGGAGTTATGGTTAGGGATGTGCCCCTAGTGCCACCCTTTATATTTAATTAATGGTTATTTCACTTATTTTCATTCTAGAAGAGAATTCACGTTCTAGTCAAGTATGCATCTCATACTCAAGGAGCGCTCTTTTTTCACTTCCAAACTCCAATTTTTGAGTTCCTGGGGGCGCTTTAGCTTTCTCAAAAAAGTCAATTCTCCCCATATATCTCAAATCTCAATAAGCAGAGGCCTCTCCCATTTTAACACACCCAAGAAAGAAAGCTAAAGACGGTGGTTTGTAGATAAACACCCTCACCTAATCACCCACCCACGCGTCACCCTCTCCTCCCGCCACGTAGCCCTCGCCCTTTCGTGAACGAAATCTCCTGCTCACGAGAATTAGGAATCGTAGCTCACCAAAAAAAAAATTTAACACAAAACCCTCCCCCTCTAAATCTCACCCCCTTATAAATACCCTGCCTAATTAATCCCTATCAAAAAGCGGTGACCCGATCCAAGCCCCCCACCGATATAAATCTCACTTTCCCCATGTCCCGCTTCGGCGAGAATTAGATCGTAGCTCACCAAAAAAAAAATTTAACACAAAACCCTCCCCCTCTAAATCTCACCCCCTTATAAATACCCTGCCTAATTAATCCCTATCAAAAAGCGGTGACCCGATCCAAGCCCCCCACCGATATAAATCTCACTTTCCCCATGTCCCGCTTCG